AAAATCTCAGAAACCTCCTGTCAGTTAAACAGTATGGTGATAAAGATGAAATGAGTAACTTCCAGATAGAAATCAGAGGCACATGAAAATTGGTGGCACTGACAAGTGATGCAAGAATGGGACCACCAGCAACTGACAAGGCTGGTAACCACTCAACAATCTGCATGAAATCACATTTCTATTCAATGCATTACATCACTCAACATATTAGTCAATACATTGTGCAGCATATGCTGTATTCCATTGAGTTTCATAATTGTTGACTAGTAATGGAACATGTTGTAGAGTTTACTAAACTTTTTGCAGTTATACCCAACAAACTCAACTCAGTTATGGAATACAAATATTTTGACTTATAGACTTACTGTTGGATATCAATATGAATGATGTTTAACAAACTAACATTTAGATGGATTATGTTATGTCATTTGTTGATAAGTATAGAGCTAATTTTTGGATTAACTCTCTATTGAAAATATAAAGGATTTTTTCTATATTAATACATAAAGAGCTTAAGAAGTGTGCACTAAGGTGTTACAGACAAAAAACACAATAATACTGAGCATTAGATAACAGATATCCAAATTATTAAAGAAATAAGACTTTCTTAAAACAAGGCAAAACTGTGTCTCTACAATCAATATTTTACTCATAAAATCCATGATAATCAAGTTATATTTCTGTCAATAATTAATATTGCTATGCCACGACAGTTTTTATATGTATCCATGCAAATTAAAAAAGGCACATTGCAAATTATTACACAATTTTTGTATATCATAAACTGAACAATATATGGCATCAGGAAGACCCATAACAGTTTAGATAACAGTCACTCTTATTCATAAAAGGTCATAGAAATGTGTATGGCTGCTTATAATTAAGTAATTATATGATGCCATTGAGGAGGAGAAGGAAGAAGAAAGTAAAAGCAAACAATGTGGGGCCTCTGCTTGCAACAATAGAAAAGGGTTGATAAAGTATGGGTAAAGAGGTGTGTGTAGTTGGAAAGGAGCTTTTATTTATACTTTACAGCTAAAAAAGAGAAGAAAAAAACAGGATTTAAAGAGGATGGGGGTTTCTAGAGATAGTATCTCAGAGATGTTAACCAGGATAGGGAGCAAAAGAGTTGATTAGAACTCATAACTGCAATTTCACACAATCCTATTCAATGCAAATCCTGTACATAGCAGATGCAGAGAGAAAGCATTATATTTCTATCCAGGGAGACAATCTTCATAAAATTTTATCTCATTAAGAATAGAGAAAAAAAAACAAAGCTAATTTTAAGATGTTATTCACATTGAATTAAAATGATTGAAGAGTAAAAGGTACTAAATGCACATGAATGAATTAAGTTTGAACAGGAAAACAAATACTTAGTGCATAAATGAAAGTATATGAGAGTTGCTTATATAAAAGGTGGCCAAAGAAATGAAAAGGATTTGAGGCCAATGTAAACATCAGGGTGGTTTTCAACAGCAAAACTACAACTTCCTTACAAACCTTGGATCATTGTATGAAATTAATATATGAAATTACTTGACCTCAAAAATTTAAACTCAAAGAACACCAGAAAGCAATACCATGAAATTGGATATAGCTGAACATATTTAGAAATAAAAATGAACATTTCCTGATTTCATATGAAATCCAAATGACAGCAAAGAAGCCTCACTGGATAGAGTGTGTAAAATAAATGAAGCTGTTTATATGTGACTGCAGAAGCTAGGCCAGTATAGAGTTCAAAACATACACACACACAATAAAAAGTATCAACAGAAAAACCCACACAATTGAAAAAATTGTATTACCAGTGTTTCATAAGTGCACTGAGAAGATTAATGTGTGTGTCAATGAATTCAATATATGTAGAGAGATTTTTTTAATTTTTTCTTGGGTAAAAATATTGATACAACCTGCAGGAATCTCTGAAGCCCAAAAATAGAATTAACTATGGTAAAATTCTTACTGAATTTATCAGACAAAATATAGTGATAAAACCAACAAGGATGAAAATACTGGATCCAAATTACTAAACTAGAAAGAAAATTTACTGCTTAATCATTAATCAAATTTTATGTCTTTATCCTAACAGCTTTATAAACAATCTTTCAAAATTACAAATTAGCAATTGCAAATTTTACAAGTACAAAACCATGATGATTACTTTATTCCTGTTTGAAATTAATTTTCCTTTTAAATTGTTGATATTAATTTCATTTAGATATAGTGAATTTTACAAATAATAAATTAGCTATTAAAAGAAAGAGATGTTTGCTTTAACTTGTTCCTATTGGTAGAGAATTTAAATAAATTTACTAATACAAAATACCTTAGGAATTGTTTTTTTTTAACTTGACAAAACATCTCTGGAGATGTGTGTTCTTTGCCAAGTTTTGTTGTTAGCATGTCTCTTTAATATATGTTGCTAGTACCAGTAGACAGCTTGTTCCAGTTTTACAAGGGCCAGAACAAGGAAAATAAAAGAAAGTCAATAAAACTGAAATGTTGTAGAAAGAGAAGGTGCTAACAGTCAAAATGGACACATACTTCTTTGTCTATATATTGGGAAGAATCCAAGGTTTTCAAAACAATGTTTTCTTACTGCATTCTTTAAATTTTTACAAGTTTTGTTGTTGCTTCATAAGATTTACAAGAAAATATTTTGGTTCATTTCCAGAAAGTTTACTAGACCATAAGTCTATTTTATATACAGGATTGTTTAATGAAATAAAAATGCTAGTAGGAATAAATGTATCTTCTTTGTTTTAACTGTCTTACATAATATATAAGTGTGGTAGGCAGACCAAAAGAATTATATCTGGGAATAATTTAACAGAATTGATAACTATTTTTAAGTATTAATACTAGAAAATATGAAACCAAGTAATAACTATAATTCTTTTTTTATACCAAATCAAGTTAAATAAAATGTAAAAAAAACAATATCAAATTTTTAACATTTTTGAAAATGCTTAAATACTCAATAAAAAAAGGAGTTTTTGCTCTAATTTGAAATTATTTTCTTTTTTGTGGGATTTCTATTTTAAAAGAAATTAACTTGCTGAAAACCAGAATTCAAAGTATTGAAATTTATCATAAAATTTTCTTTTTAAGGAAAAAAAAAACATTACCCTTCTAATCTACAAATTACCAAAGATAAGAAAAACAATAATACACAAGATATTTGATCACTGCTCTTATGATAGAAATAAATTTGTTTAACATAATAGGCTAAAATGAACTGATCTTTTTTTCAATATTTATTTGTTTTCCTTCTGAAGTTTTATGGCAAATATAACCAAATACACAAAGTTTCTGAAGTTGAAATAATTTCTGAAGCCAAACTTCAGAAATTATTTCAACTTCAGAAATACAAACAAGTTTTGGTTATCATCTTGCTTTTTTATCTGAGTAAATCATTTTTTAAAATAGAATATTTAAAAACAAAAATAATCCATAGAACCCCAAATCCTCTTTACATAAATGTAAGAAAAAATTAAATTACATAAGTCATGCAAATTTGTTCAGCTAAATTTGAAACACATTTAAATGATGGTAGATCAATAAATCTGTAGCTTTACAATGTTATTAAATAAATTTTAATCTGAAACTTTTAATCTATAATGCTTGATTCATATGATCAATGGAGAAACCCTGGATTATTTGCACTGGCAAAAAAAATTATATTGAAAAATATATATTTGATATGTAAAAAATGCTTTTTCCCTTCATTAGACTTATTGATGTATCTAGATAATTGGAATAATATTTTAACTTAAATAACAAAGCTACTTACTCAATATTTTGCATTTTAAAATATTAAATAAACAATTAACCTGAGACAAAATTTTCCCTCTATAGAAAGTAAAATGCTTTTCTCTCAAGAAAGCATTTACCAAACCAAATAACATTGTAGGTTTAGTACAAAGAACATGGCCTTGAATATGACAGTCATGAGATACAGTATCTGGAGCTTTTAACTTTGAATTCAAAATTCATAGTCAGCCTTTTTCAATAGTCTTTAACAACCTGATAGCTGAAGAACAGTTGATGTGACACTTGTGTTTACACTTAGCATAATAAACTGTTCAAAGTAGTCCATGATAATATAAGCCCAAATCTTGTGCCCAAATTTGCATTATTTATAAAAATAAAAGCCATATTCATTCTTAGTAGAATTCACATCTGTTGCTTGACTAAAATGGCTTTGCATGACATTCACTTTTTATGAATAAATTTATTGTCTTAAAATAAATAATAATAAGAGAAAATTTCCATTAGTTTTCTTACAACAGTGCAATATAAAATCTTCCGGCATTCACTTTGCTGTAAGATCTACATGAACAACAATAAGGTTTAGACTTTAAAACATCCAAAACAAAGAAATATGATAAATTTAAACATAAAATGTTAGTAATAATAATATCCAAGTGGTTCAAAGATGTTCATATTCAAATAGAAAAAAAGGTTTTATACAATGGTGTTATGAGGAGGTGCTGAAAGGTTCTTTGCCCAACCCACTTCCCAAAATATGACCAAACAACCAAACATTAGAATTTTTCTTGATCCTTTGTTGGTTAGGCTGAGAAATTTTTAGCAATCTCTCATAGAAAATAATATTATTCATTGTTAATGTATAGTTTTGTAACAGAAGTTTCTTTTTTTGCTTCACAGATTAGAAGTTTTGTGAAAAACAATCTTGTAAATTATAATTGCTGTGAATATATTGGCAAGTTCCATTTGTTCTTTAAGGATCATTGATGCTTACAAAACTATTAAAATAGAAATGTTTTTAATGATTACAAATAACAAAGGAGAAAGCATCAATTAAGAAAAGAAATTAAAAAAGAAATTCATACATATACAGTTGATTTTATCTCTCTTTAATTGGCTATGCTTCTAAAAAGATCTTTATGAAAAGAGAAATTGTAAATCCTTCAAGGCAAAAGTGCACATTTGTAGATGAATACACACACAAAATTGAAGAAAAAAAATCAAGAAAATGCAAAGTGAGAAGGGATACAGAGGAAAAGAAAGATAGAAACAAGAAATAAGCAAATGCAAAGAGGATGAAAGAAAAAGAGAGTGAAAGAGAAAAAAGAAGGGAAAAAGAAAAATATACCAAAAAAAAACAAGTAAAAAAAATTAAATAAGAAAAAGATATATAGGATAAATATTTGTAGCGTAATATTAACTTGGCACAAGGCACTATTCACAGAGCACTCAGTGAATGGATGCACTATTGTGGGGTTGTGAAACTATTAAAACCAGTTTTTGATTGATTAGTTATTTTTTTAAAGCTTATCAACCCTTTGTGTGTTATTTAAAGCCAAAACATATTTCAGATTATACGCAGTCGCTTACAGTACCTGGTGTTCCCAAGCAGCCTCCCCCCATCTAAATACTGACTGCTTAACTTTGGTGATTGAATGTGAGCCAGCATTTTCAGCATAATTTGACCATAATCTATTATAGTAGGTACCACAACATGATAAAGAAAGAGGTACATGCAAGATGAGAACAGAAGAGACAAATTTAAAATAATAAAAAATATTTACAAATCAAAGAAAAATTCCCCCAAAAATGTGAGAATGTTGATTGACTAAATAATATGAGTAATGAAGTATATTTGGTTGCTCTGAATACTTTATATATATATATATATATATATATATATATATAGATAGATAGATAGATAGATAGATAGATAGATAGATAGATAGATAGATAGATAGATAGATAGATAGATAGTTCAAAATTGTGACATTTTTTTTTATTAATTTTCACTTTATACAAAGCCCAAAGACCACTCAAGGTAGAGGGTTACTGAAGATGGTTGTTGTGTGTGCGGTAAAAATAAGGGCTGAAGTTTATGTGGATATGTGTGAAACATAATGGTTAATCCTAGACTTGAAGAGGTTAAAATTGTAGTGGTCAGGAAAGCACCTTCCCAGAATTCTGTTCCACAAAGCAAAAGTGCTTTGGAAGAAGCTATCTGAGTGAAACTTACTCCTTACTGAAGGGATATGAAGAGAATGGTGGTTTGCTTCTATCATGTTTAAAGATAAATTTTCTAAAAAGCCCTAAAATTATATATATATATATATATATATATATATATATATATATATATATATATATATATATATATATATATATATATATGAGAATGGCAAAAAGACTATAAATTTTAATATTTGAATGAAATCTTTCCTGAAAGTTAGCTGTGTAAACAGCAGTATGACTTTCTTTATAACTGTTATTCAAGATTAAGACAAAGTGCACAAGCAGGTTTCTTACCTGTAGATTAGTGAAATGATCATGTAAATTTCACTGGTACACAGCTGATCAGTAAAGTATATTTTTTAAACTATACCCAAATAGAACTGCATAATTTTGAACCACTTGATTTTCTTCCAAAATCACACCTTTTTAATATAACTCATCCAAATGTAAGTATCATTAAAAATTTCATATGTTAAAAATTAAAAGATAAAATATTGATAAAAGAATTATTTTGCTAAATGTTACATATTATAGTTTTGTTAGTTGGAAGATTATGCTTACCAAAAGAATAGTTAATTATTTGCTTTTCAATACTCACAAAAACATTTACTGTGATTGCTGACATGTGCAATTAGTGAGGCATACTGAAAAAAAATGAAATAAAAGGAAAATGAGGGTGGGAAAAAGAACATAGAGAAATCAAAGAAAGGGGAAAAAAAAAAAAAAAAAAAAGAAATGATAAAAAGTGCTAAGAAAAGCAAAGGTAAAATATACAAGAAATTAAAAAGAGAGACAAAAAAATTTGAGTAAAAAGAAATATTTTATTTAATAAAATTAAAATATAAAAACAAACAAAAATATAATTTAGAAATAGTAACAATAATTAATAACAAAAGAAGAAAAAACAATTTAAGAGAAAAAGCAAAAACTTCCAGACAGTGTAATCTGATCTAAAATAGTTTCACATGTAAAGAAATTGGCTTGATTGAATCCACAGTATGTTGCAGTTAAATGAGACACAATTTCTTTTTCTGCTATTTAAAGAATGTCAAACTATTCTCAATGACAGATTAAAGAGAAGAAAGAATGAAAGAATTCCTGTAGCCTAATTTTGGAAATAAAGTAAAAGTATTAGAATTAAGACTTATCCATCCAAGAATAGCAAGAGAACAACAAAGACAAGGGAGAATAATATACAATGCCAATATTGCTTCAGCGGACATTGAATAAAAATGATTTGGCTATCAAAAATACTATGTCTTTGGAAAAGAATGGATTCAGCAATCCTGAAAAAGAAATTCCAGTCAATAGTGACAAAAGAGATACAAGCTGGGAGAATAAAAAAATTACTTCTTAAAGTTATGCAAAGTAAGTAAAACAGATAAAGTCTTAAATTGCATTTTCTAACAGACTGTTTGCAAATAGCAAGAGAAATAACAATAAAAAAAAAATATTTTCTTGAGACAAAAAAGTAAATTACACAGTATAAAAGTACCAAAATGTTAACCCAATTATAGACAACTGTTTTAATTTGTAGATCCAGTTCTACAACTTGAGTAAGTAATACTTTTTTCTATTTTAAAATCCCAAATTATACAACTATAGATAAGTTGCTATGTGAAGTAAACTCACATAAGAGACCTCTCTCTTACACATATTCACAGTTCAATGTAAATTTATGAGTTTTACAAGTTATTGATAATTACTAGATACCCTATAAAATGTGATTTCTGTCTATATTTCTGAGATGAAGTATCCACTTTTACCCACAGTGGATAAAAGCATTGGTCAGATCCAGTGACTTGACCCAAAGAGTTGTAAGTTCAATACCTGGCTACTGCAATGGTAAAAAAAAAAAATGGGGAGTTAAAGGGAGATAACTGAGATATCTGGAAGAGGCATGGCACATGGAACTAGAACAATCTACCAAGGTGGACAAAATAAAGAGTTCAGTTCAAAATTCCAACCACCCGAAGAACACCAGAGTGTACAATGGTTGAGATGATGTGAATATAGCAATATAGATGAGGACAACAATCCAAACAACAAAAATAATGTAAATAAAAAGTGATTTTCTTTTAAACTTGGTTAGGTCCAACTAAATAAGAAAATATGGACTTTTAATTGGCACCTTTTGAAAAAGCACAGCACTCAAACATTGCTGGCCTCCAACTGATTTTTTTATCATTTTTCGAACAATGAGATACAATATATTTGCATGAAAAAAGAATTTTGTGAAAAAACAAAAAAGAAGACTCAACGCTATTAAACAATTGCATTCTTTTCATCCATATTTGATATGTAAATAAGACACAAATTCTTCCAAAATTCATTTTCCCACAGATAATTCTGAAATGTATATATTTTACTTGATAGTTTGTTTAATGGCTTACACACACATTATATATATATATATATATATATATATATATATATATACACACAAACACACACACACAGAGATAAAATATGAACAAATGGAGTATAATTCCACTGCCTGTAACATTTAATTTATGTGTCAATATATTTTATAAAGATTTGTTATCAATGTTGCAATAATCTAAAGAAAATGTCACTTTTACAAAGTTCCTGCAGATTTTGTTTTTTCTGACCAGTAAAACTTTTCAATGAAAACTATAAAAGATTGCCATTTACAAGTGCAAGATCAGGACATGACATCACAAAAGAAAAAAAACAAAAGACAGCTATCATCTTATAGGAGCTGAGGTTTATTGTAGACAGTAGCAATTATACAAAATTCACATTATCTAACAAAGTTATTCTATCTTGTAGTTTATATAAGATTAGCAAGGAGGTAAAAAATTATAGACTGAAAAAAACAGAATGGAAGAACTGTTTTGTTCTTTATTCAGTGATTTGTCATCACAAATCTGTTGATGTAACCAAAACAGATGTTCTTTGAATTGAAGAAAAATAAATAAAAATGTATAAATAAAATAGAAGAATCAAGACAGAAAAAGAATTCTAATTTTTTTCTTAATACAACATATATTCTAACCTTGTATCCATCCTTGAATAAAGAAGGGTCAGCTTCCTTTAGGGTAAATTGCTTAATTAAATAACTACATTTCAATAAGGTATGTGTAATAAAGAATACTTACTGAAAATATATGGTGAGAAGACACTAGAACTGAAGCAAATATAAACTATACATTGTTTAACAATTAAATCCAATATTTCATATTTTTCATTAACAGATTTCATATTATGAAATAATAATCATGGTTGTACCTTACTATTGACAATATTTGAGACAATATTTTTGACAGTAAAGAATAAATGTTGATTAAATATACATTAAGAAAAAAAGGTTTGTCAGTGATCAGAAAAATTAAGGCAAAAATTACTGAAAGAATAGTGTTTTTAACTCTGTATCTGCGTTTGTCTGTTTGTCTCTCTATTATATATACATATATATAGGTACCTCCAAAGAAAACATGATACTTAAGGTTTAAAATGATTTTTTGAAAATGTAAAATCTTTCTTGAAGTTTTTATTTTAGTTTTAATTTCAATCTAATAAATTAAATTTAATGTTTTCAATAAGCAAAATACTTTGGTGTACTTCAAAACTAATTTAAATTGACTAGAAGGAGTTTTTTAAATCATTAAAAATAGCTGATTTTAGCCATCTGTCAGCACAATGTAATTCTCTTTATTAAAAAATCTTTATTTTCTGAAACTTTGAGTTAGCTGGTTTAAAGTTTAATTAATTTGATTTAAAACAAATATTACTTTTAATTTAAAATCTTGCAGAAATGCATTTTTTAACACAGAGGTAGGTGTTTTTATTAGGTGTTGCCAGCTCTATTATGTTACACAGCTCTATATCTATTAAATTAGGAGTTGACAGCCATTATGCAAGTTTTGCTTCATCACTCTGTAAATATTTTATGCATTCCTATGATCCAAGGATAATAAGTAAACAAAGTACCATATTTTACAGACTTCAGGAAATCTTTTCTAAATCTCTCCCCACTTCTTATAAGATCAGTGAGTTTAAATCTGGTGCTATTACTCCTGCCACTGATTATTAGGCTGTGATTAGTTTAAGATTATCTTCTTGGTCATTGGCAGCAGTTGTAATATTGCATTCAGCTAAAATCTTTATCACTAACCATTGCCTAAGTCAATGGAAATGTTTTTCCTGTCAGTAAATTTGATATGCTATGATTTATTCAACAATGAAGTCTTTCAGCTATAGTCAAAACGTCAAGTGGGATTCTTGTTTATCACACATACAAAAATGTTTCTTTCAAAACACAACTGCTACATATAACATTAAATTTCCAACAACAATTTTACTTATGGTATCTATGTAAAGGATTGTAAGTTCACTGAAATAGTAAATTATTCAGAAATTTGATGCAACAGATATTGTAATAGTCCTACAGATTATGCTTTATCTTTGTTAGCATAAGAGAAAGGAGGAAAAGTGTGTCTCCTTTAAATTCATTACAATTTTCTTGGCAGGAATTGTGTATGTGTGTTCATTACAAGTCTCTCTGTCATACACAACAACAGTATTCATTCATGATCATGTGATTATGGATGGCAGGGTTATAAGTTGACACAGCTTTTTCTACAAACTACTCAGAATGAGTGCCAAAACCAAACTGTTGAGAACTCACTTTTTATGCCAATACAGATTTTTCTAGATCTCACTAAGATGTTAACATGATTATGCATTAAGAAAAATTGCTGCTCAATTTCAATGGTTCTGGATATATTTTGTATTTGAAAACAACATGCCATATATGTTAATTGCCAAAAGTTTGATTTGTAAAATTTTCTGGACAAGATTTTTCAAAGGAAGTAAAGATTTTCAGTGAATAGTATTTTTAAATAGTTTAATATATTTTTTATCATTTTTTCTGAAACTGATTCTACTCCTGATTCAGATTTAATTGACAATTTTTCCTTTAGTTTTCTCTCAGCCTCACAGACCAAAAGAAGACTTTATAGCATTTATCACTTAATTGACTGATTTACTTAAACTTCTTTAGGACAGGGATTTATATGCATCAAAAAGTAGAAAGTTACCCTTACAATGGTAGATAAAACACCACTTACCATTATTATTATAGCATTTTAAGCTGAAATGCAAAAATATTGCACATTTCCTTTAAGAAAAATCAGTTGAATAAAGCATCATTGTAATTCAATTTTTTTTTTAAATCAAACTCTAAACTCTATATATGATATAAGCTTGATTGTATTAAGAATTTTGTCAGACTAGTGAAACAAGGTTGCACATTGTTAAATCTATTGCTAAGTTTTTTCTGCTGAAGATATTTCACAGCTTTTCATTACTAATTGGCATGTATTTAATGTCTCCATTTATTTGTAGAAACTGGAGAATATTGTAATTTATAAAGTTAAGAGTTAAAGTTAAGTTAAATTTGGTCTTAAAAACTCAACTTATACAAGCATATAATGCATTTATTTGACTGAATAAATTTATTAAGAACTTATTTTCTAGTGAGAACAGATTTTGAAAGGACATAAAATGTACTTAATGTCTAAAATGCCAGCTCAGTGTTTTAAATCTAAATTAATATGAAAGGGTGTATGATGATCATGTGGTAAATAATTTATTCTTTAATTTTGTCAACACTGGTTTG